TTTCTGAGCCGCCTGTTGAGTCGCTGCGTACGCCATCTGTTAAGTAAGGAGTTTTTGGCTTCAAGGAGCCTCGCTAGGCGGCTGTCCATGCGTTCCGTTTTAAGATCCGTCTCCACCACCTTAGTGGCAGCTTTAACATTTGCCTTAAGACGCTCAAGTAGCTGGCTAAGGTCATCATACTCTTTTTCATCGCTTTGTCTGAGTTCCCGAAAGGCATCTCAACCAACAATTTTGAAAACCCGCGGCGGCGGTGCTTTAACATCGAGGGAGATAGACGCGATGAAATGGTCGCTCCCCAAGTTCTCATGCAAGTTCTGCCAGAAAGGGCACTCGACGTTCCTGACAAAAGCCAGGTCCGGCGTGGTGTCCCTTGCTACAGAATTGCCGAGACGTGTGGGAAAGTTGTGATCAGTAACTAGTAACATATTAAGATTGGTAGTATGCTGAAGAAGCGCCCGCCCCTTAGCCGTATTATTGATATAGCCCCATGTCTGATGTTGCGCATTGAAGTCGCCAGCAACTGGCAACGGAGCCGAGCCCGCGATTTTGGAGGCTTTGGAGAGAAGCGCATTAAAAGTCTCCCGAGTATCAGATGGTGAGCTATAAACGTTGAGAATGAATAGGTGCTCCTTAAGCCGAGAGTTTGGGATTAACTCAATGAGTATGTGTTCCACCTTTAGGTCTGGACGTACATCACGAACCTCAAAGGAAAACTCTCAGCAGGCCACGGAGCGATAACCCCGGAGGGCCACCTCTCCTTTAAGGGTCTCCTGGAGGAGTATTACGGCTGGCTTATTCTCCTGTGAGCTGACGAACTGCTGCAAGACTGCCTTCTTCCCGTGGAAGCTCGCGCAATTCCATTGCCAAATGACAAATGTTTTATTTAGCTTCGCCATGATTGCTATTTAGGTTTCACTCCACCACCACCACCCTTGCAGAAAGGGACTGGATGACAGAGCTGACACCAGCGATGGCCTCCTTAATTTCATGGACCACCCCCATAATTTCCTGTTTAAAGTCACTGAACTCCTTCTCGATATCTACCGGAGGGTCAGCGGCTTTTCGCTTACCGTCTCTAGGTTGTGCCTCGGCCTGCTGCACTTTCACCGCCCCTTCCGGCGTGCGTTCGCGCTGCCTAAGCTCCTCAACTAATGCTTTAATCTCCTGAAGCTCACTCCTCAGAGTTGCATTCTCACGCTCTAGCTGCTGTATTCTAGCCGTAGCTTGCTCTGGCAACTGGCGCTGCACGATAGTGCGAGACTCACGTTTTGGGCCCACTCGTTCAGCCCAGGTAGGTTCCTGCTGAATCCGGGCACAGGAGGCAGACCTATCCCTCGAGCGAGAGCGGTGACCCGCACCCCGCCCAGGGTTATCAAGGCCACCCCCCTGGTTGAACCCAAGCCCGGGAGCTTGCTGTGGCACGAACTCCGCGCGCTGCTTGTTTGCTTTTCTCCGTCGTCGCCTTCTACGCCGAACGATGTAGGGAACCTGGTACCTGCTTTGGCAGGCCCGATCCGCCATCGGATGCGCTCCTCCACAGATGGAGCACTTCGGCTGGCACGTATGATTCTCAGGGGGTGATGAGACCCCACAGTCCGGGCAGGTGATGACTGTAGGAGTGGGACAAACGTCCGAGCGATGTCCCAGCTTTCCGCAGATTCGACAGGTGTCGATTTGTCGTCGGTAGAGCGTGCACCGGATCAGGTTCGTCCCACACATGACGTAGTTTGGAACTTTCATACCGTCAAACAGGACGATCACCGTGGGCGTTTTCTTGATGCGCCATACTCCAAGAACCTTCGGATTTCTTGCGTGCACGAAGAGCTCACCAAGCCGGTCATCAGAGAGCTCAGGGTCGATACCGCGAACAACTCCTCTGCACGTATCCCCGGGTGGCGTCACGTAAGTAGAGACTTCATGGAGCGTTTCTCCCACTCAAATTTGCTTCACTTTAGCGTAGGCTTCTGCGTTCCTAGCGTGTGGCGTGCTGATCACAAAAATGTTCTGCATTTCATTGGCACAAACAATATCTTCCTCAGCCTGCGGCGGGCCGAGACAAGCAGCCATCACCAAAGCTTGGGTAACCTTGATTCCACTGACCTTGCGCACATCCATGCCTCCCTCGGGACGTACGACAACCCGGTAGTGATCTTTAGGCAATCGCGGCAGGCGCGACGCGGCGATGAGCTTGTTTATCGGCGCCTTCGGGTGCGCTGGGCGGGCGGCACGATGACCGGCACTGGGGCCAGGGCTGTCGCCGGGCGTAAAATCCTGACGCTGCTTCTTCCGAGAGTGGGCAACAATCCATCCGGAGGCTTCATCCTCCTGCCTGGAGATTTCTTCGCCGAAGACCATCTCCTCGAGCGGCATCCTCGAAGCTGGTTCACTTGTCGGCTTGCGCTGACGGCAGAATCGATAGCCAAGGACGCGTGGACGGCGTCCCTTGTGAAATGGTACCGGTACCGTGTACTGCAGCCACCGAGGAGGCCTTGACGCCATCCCCGAACGGTGGTGGCAGTGGCGGAAGGTGAACAGCTGCCAAGGAGGTTTTGACGCCGTCCTCAAGGGGTGCTTATCGCAGCTGTCCTGGATGACGAAGCTGGGACGTAAGCCTTCTTCTTCGTCGACTGCGCCATTGTAATGAAGAGAAAAGTGACAACACCCGATGCTGGGCCAGCTATTCTTATTGTGACTTCGTTCTTCTCTTCTTTGCTCTAGCTACCCGCGCGCCAAAGCGCGAGCGTCTTTCTTGGTAGTGACAATATATATATATGAGGGGGAGACGAACTTAGCTGAAAACCCATTGCGCCGCTAAGCTCGAAGACGCAAGTTTGCTTCCCTACCACGGCAGGCAATTTATTTTGACGAGGGCCAAGCGCAAGAACACTTGTGCACTTACTATACCTCTGTGAGGTACACTGCACATACATACGCATGATTGCAATTCTGTTGAGCTTATTTTTTTTGTCTCTATAACTACTTTTAAAATACCACTATCCCCTCCTTAGTTCAGTACCATGACTCTGCGACCATCTTTGAGATTGATTTGCAAACGCTGCTGTTGGATGGTCGAGGCTCCTGAGAACATTGGCGCAGTACGTGCACGACAATTTACATTTATTTCTCAAACTGAGTAAGAAACTACTCCATCGTCTCTCTACAAATGACACCATAGCCCCAAATGATAGCGCCATAAATCCAAAGTCCACGGCCATTGGCTGGTTTGAGCGCCGGCAGCTGAATAGTTACAAATGCCGCCGTGGGATGTTATCGCGTGCTCACGGTTTCCCTCACGATTACACTGTAATTGAGGTTCGCGTTCATAAGAAAGAAAGAAAGAAGGAAAGAAAAAAGACAGATAGAAGGAAGGAAAGAAAAAAAAGAAAGAAAGGAAGAAATAAACAAAGATGCCGCTAGACATTCCCTGCTGGTTCTGACGTGGGAGACGCCCGCCACGCACAGAGTACGCCCCGCAGGACATCAGTAAAGTTCTAAATGCGAAGCATTTTTTAGCGAACTTCGGCAACTTAAAGCGTATCTATCTATCTATCTATCTATCTATCTATCTATCTATCTATCTATCTATCTATCTATCTATCTATCTATCTATCTATCTATCTATCTATCTATCTATCTATCTATCTATCTATCTATCTATCTATCTAGCCGCTTGTGTTCAAGTGCTATAGTGGTCACCCTCTTACCTTGGCGTTAACCAAAATTTGCATGGGAGGGTAAGATGGTTTTCCGAGTATGACGCGCTGGTCAAGACATGATCAAGGTCAAAATTGCATCGCTTACGTCGTAAAACACCTCTCGGAAGACAGTGGCACATACCCATGGTTGAGTATGTGCCGCTGGTATGCGGGTATGTGCCACGGGTGATTGACACTTAGTATCTACCCAGAAACGTCGAGTACACACATGGGCAATTTTAACATGTGAGAATTAAGAAATACCCTGCATTGGTAGTGTTAACTCGACGAATGCAAAGAATAAATGTCAGGGTCCCAGCTGGAATCAAACCAAAGCATTCTGCGTGGCAATGGAGCATTTTACTACAGAGCTACAACCTACGCCTGGACTCGCAACTACTTCTCAACTAGACGCCAATCTTCGTGAAACGTCAATAGTGGTTGCACTGCTGCCTACACAATTTTATAAACATTACTTATGTACTCCTTTGATACAGCTGTCGCATCGGGTGAACGTCAATTGTGGTTAGTTGTCAAGCGCTGAAGTTTATTTATGTAGCAGTGTTTAGGGGCCAGCATCCTCGCGAGCATCAGCGCTTCACATCAGCTTCTGGTGTTGCTAATACGCATGTTTCAGCTGGCATCGTTGCACAAGTGCAAAAAACTGGCTTATAAACATTTTTAACTCGTCATATGTCTGTGCATGCAACATTTGTACGTATATTTAGCGCCAATTCATGACGGGCCTCTCAATAAAAAAATTGCAACATGGTCACTTTGCGTCCACATGCTTCGCATAACGTCGATTCCCAGGTACGTGGTATCTGCCGATTTCTTTTCCAATGCGATCCATAGTAAAGGAATTCAGTAAAGAAATAAAAGAAAGTGTTCATGGTAATCACGAGCGCTAGCAAGAAGACGCATCTTCTTTGCTTTTTGTCATTATCCTCCTCCATGTGTAGCTTGAAGCGCGCTCGCTGGTAGGAAAGTAGCGAGGAAGTGCTTAAGGCGTGCAGCAAATACCTGTTTTCGCACACTACCCGCGCAGCCGCACCGCACGTGCCTGAACGCCTGCCGCACGCAAGCGGAGGACGAAATAGCGTATCGGCGACGCTCTATCGTCCTCCACTTGCGTGCAGCAGGCGTCCAGGCCCGTGCGGTACGGCTGTGCGGACAGCCTCTGATTACATTGGTGACACACGATTCGGGAGGCAATGATCTTTTTTAAAGAAAGTCATTGTACTATTATTTGGAAACGTGTTGCGGTGCTTCTTTGTGAAAAAGCAAATATAAAATTTAGCTCAC